TGAATTTGATAGCGCCTGGGGGAGAGGCGCATTGCAACGCATTAACGTGTAAACAGATGGCACCTGGGGGAGGGTTTATCTACAAAACGCCTCCCCCCTATGGCTCCTTCTGAAAAATGTCTGCTCCCCTGCTCTTTCTTTTTCCACGTATGCAGGTGCCACATCAGCCATATAAGGCGCATGGAGAGGCTTTTTTCTGAAAAACGCCCCACCCCCTGCGTTTTCTGTTCCACGTGGCGTCACGCTATCAAAAATCACCTACTTTGATAAATTGTTTTTTTTTTTAATTTATTTCGTGTATTTTTTTAGTTTTTTTTATTTTTTGGGGTCAAAAAGCCCACAAACAACTCTAATGACACTCACTTGGACATCACATATATCACTTTTGAGCCATTTTAACATAAACTAAAAAAAAATAACATGACATAGTAACATGGATGTTGTTGGATTGACTAGTGACACTCATCGATAATTATTCCATAAAATATTTCAAAATAACTTCATATGTGTAAAATATTTTCATAACAATACTACATGCTCAAAAAGTTGTCAAAAGTGGCATGACCACGAGACAATCACCCAAATATGTTAGCCACCCAATGATAGATTTGGTTTGGTCCAAATGACTCACATCCAAAAGAGTATATATTTTTTCGATTCTTAAAAAAATCATTTTTTATATATTAATTATTTGTGTTAATTATAATAATTATTTTACTTAAATATCTAATTAATTAGTTAATGAATCATATGTTTACTTAATAATTGTTCGAAAATTTAAAATTTTCTCCTCAAAACAAATTTTCTAAAATACTTTGGGGATTTATTGAAAACACCTCTTTCAAATTATGTACCATCCATGTGGCAAGCGTTTAAAGACAGTTGTTAGTCAATTGTAGGCCAAATGTGTAGAATTTGAATAATTTAAAGAGTTGGTAGATGCTATTTATTTTTAAACTTTATAAAATTATACCCGTATCTTTTTTCTTATTTATTTGTTTAAATTAACAGTTTATTATATATAAGGAATTTAAAATCACACTAATGTCACTTAACACACTCCTATTACTCATGTATAGGCAAGGGATAGTGAGTAATTAAGTAGACTATGTCTTCCAAACTTTCACCATTATTTATTGCATTTCCTTTCATTTTTGGTCCTTTTCTGTTTCATTTGCCTGGATTTTCACTTGATTCTTTTCATCTATTCAAATAATCTTTAACTTTGTTTTGAAAGTAAGTCAATTTGTGAAAAATACCAGGAAAATGATTAATTGAAAACAGGTAACTAATAACGCGCTTGTAGAAGTAGCTTAAAAATAACTATCAAATTCAAAACATTTGAGAATTTGATGTAATTTTCTTCCCCAAATAGAAACCGTAAATCAACTTTCCACAAGAGTAAAGGAAACACAATTAGTTTTTTTTTCTTTTTTCATTTTTAATAACACAACTATTTATAGCTTCCCAATTTTTATATATTTTTCTCTCCACAATGCAACCAAATGAAATTTTGGGACAAAATCAAATTGTCTACCATCAAATTTCTATATATAGTGAAGCTCGGAGGAACTTTAATTCCAATTTCCCACCCCATTTCAGTTGAAATCATATACATATTTTTTTATTATAGAGCAATAACAAAACACTGTGAACCATTTTCTTTCTCAAAAATGTAACAATAATAAAAAAAAGTACAATTTGCAATGTGAAATTCACATAAATTAAAAGAGAGAAATAACAAAACACTGTGAACCATTTTCTTTCTCAAAAATGTAACAATAATAAAAAAAAGTACAATTTGCAATGTGAAATTCACATAAATTAAAAGAGAGAAAAAAAACATAATGAGAAATTATGTATAGAAAATTCCATAAAGCTTAACTAACTATCTGATTTTGTGTGTGTGGTATGAGTTTGTGAACAAGCTGAACCTGGACTCTGCAGAACTTGGCATTCGCCTCCAACAGATTCCGATTCCGACGCCGCCTCCGTTTCCTCTGTTTTCACCTTCTCAACACAAAAACAAAGGTACGTTTCTCAATTTCACTCTCTTTCGATCGTTAGCATAGTACATGCAAAAACCACAAAATTAAATCCAAAAACCAAGAACACCACGCGCACGCACCTCCGACGGCGATGGCGCCTCGTTTACGATCTTTTCTTGTTCCTTCTCCCTGAGCGTCCGCATCGGAGAAACTCTCTGTTCAAGGAGAAAGAAAAATCAGCATCGAGAAATCGATAAACTAATCCAAAAGGAAAAGTGTTGAAATCGCTTAGCTCACCATGCACCGACACTTGAGTTCCTTCAACCGGAACAATCGATCGACCTCGATCTCGAGATTCTTCTGAATCTCACCTCGCTGTTCCATCTCCTTCATCTTCGCGTCAAGCACCGCGTGTTTCTCGTTCAGCGTTTTCTCCGTTCTCTCCTTGTCCGCTCTCATCCTCTCCAGCTTCTTCTTGATCGCGCTGAGCTCCTCCGCTAGCGACGTCTCCGGCGGCTGCGCCGCCGGAATGGCGGCGATGGCGATCGGATTGTTCTCTTTGTCGATTGCTGAGATCTCGAAACACGGGCGGTCGGGCTTTGGTTTGGGCTTGGGCTTTGGCGAAGGCTGGATGGGATCGGCGGGAGAGTTCTTGAGCTGAAGCGGCGTCCGGCCGGACCTCGGGCGGAGCTTCGGTGGTCCGGTCGTGGGAGTTTGCATTTGCGTTTGTGTTTGCATTGGCGTTATGACGTGTTTGGTTTGCTTGCTATTGATTTGGGATTGGGATTATGGTTTGAGTGGGAGCTGTAAGGGAATAAAAGAGGTGGAGATGATGGGAGCATGAGTTTTGAATTTGAAACCAGACAGGCGCTAACGGCTAGTATTTTTTATTTTTTGTTTTTTTGACTTGGGGTTGGGCTTGCTTGCTTCTTCTGATGATTTTTGCTTTTAAAAAAGGTTACATTGGATTCTCGGGGGATTTTTTAAAAATAGATTCCGCGCACAACTTTGATTTTAAATCTTAGATCTAAACTTATGAGGTGTGTTAACTTACTTTAAGTTATACTATAGTTTTTTGTTGTTAACAAAAAAAAAATTGTTACAGTTTACGTATAAAAGAATCCAGCCTTGTGAATTTCCTGAGAAAACAAAAGTGTTCAAAATAAAAAGTTCACAACACAGTCAACACTAAAAAATAAAAATCATGAATGGTGGATAAAAAAAATGAACGTTTGGGTATAAATTTTTTCTCGTGGTCTGCTAGCATCATGGTAGAGTTAGACAGGTTTATTAACTGTGTCCGTGTTTGAATGTCTGTTAGTTCAGAGCAGTATACGTTGAAGCAAGCAACCTATATTAACTTCTGCGTCGTTTTCTTTTGGATGTGAATATAGAGTAAAAATGTGGTGCTTATTACAAAACTGCCATGTAAGTAAATTATGTGCATGTTTGATTTAACTTATTTTAGATAATAAATACTTATTATTTTGAATATTATTTAAAAAATAAAATTTATCAAATACGGTACGATTGAGAAAGATAAAGAATATAAATTTACAACTTATGGTTCAAATATCGATGAGACCGATCACTTCCAAGTTCTAATACAAAAATATTAAATTATATCTGCCAAAATTTAAACAATTATTTTTTATCAAAAGTGGTGACACTTATTAGTATTTAAACCATGCCAAAATTAATTTTGTAAAATTGATTTGATTTTATGAATTCTCTTGCACAATCATTGGAGGCTTCTATTGTCTTCTTGAAATCAAGATTCAAAATGTCAAAAACATGAAATGAAGAGATATTACAAATTTGGTTGGGATATTTCGACTTTTATACAGGTTAATTACATTTGTTTCAATTGACATTGATAGTTGATATTCAATATATAAAATCTATATAGATAAACTTCTTCATAAACAGATTTAGAAGAAAATAAGGAAAAAAATATATTTTTCATAAATTAAAATTAACTAATACACAAATTAAAAATATTTTTTTGAAAAAATTTATATACAATAACTTCTACAAAATTAATTTATATATAAACTAATTTCAGCTCAAAAAAAACATTTTATTTTTTTCTCTCTTTTAAAAGTGCTTATGAACAAGCTTTTATTTAAATAATGCCATGGAAGTATCAAATTAGATTAAATCCTCTCTAGTCTATCTTCGGTGTCTCTCCAGCATACCCTTTCTTCATTTATTTTGTTCACTGCTGCAGAGGCAGAACAGAAGAGCATGAAAGCATCCAATTTGTTGCTGATCAAAAGAGAAAACATCACCTTTGTCAAACTAAAGAAAATTGCATATCATTAAATATAGATAAATCTATCTATGAATAGGCAATACAAGTTAAAGGTTGCTAAAATAAATATAGAAAAAAAAACTAAAAATTCATTGAAACTAACTGTACAAATGCAAGCCACTTGCTACCAAAAAGGAAAGAGAAAGAAAAACCTCTTGGTGTTTTTAATATGCTTATTTAAACTTTCACTATTTTTATATATAAAAAAAAAGTGTTATACATAAAATTTAGCATAAAATCCATGAGAATCAGAGATAGTCCATTGGAAGCTCCCAATTATCTTCATCATCCCAATCTCTTTGAGTTTTCTTTCTTCCAAAACTTTTTCTCCTCTTTGAAATATGACCATACGTCTCAGATTGTTCAGAGTCATAGTCTTCATCATCATCCACGGAAATTCTCACATTCTGGTTGCCCAAAAAACCCTAGCACAAAAAATAGGCTGCTTTTTGATCAATAGGACAAAATAAATGAATGGCTTATTAGTTATTACAAAGAGCTAAAAGGATGCCCAAATATATGTATTTATTAATGTTCAGCCAGTTTTCCCCACTGAATTTCAAATTATATTCCAGAACAATAAATAGGAAGAAAGGTGCCAGAAAGAACAATGATTGCATATCTAGACTGGCTATTGAGAAGGTTCCCAATTCATTGGTTCAACTTCAACCATAGTTAAACTAGGATCAAATTGGTAATAACTAACTAAATATATATTTTAATATAATATAATATATTCACTAATAAACTAATTTAAAATTATAAGAAAATTAAGTAAATAAAATTTTAAATTAGTATAAAGAATCATTTTACATGTCTTAAAAGATTAAAAAAAACCACTCAATAAACTGTTAAATAATAGCAATCCATATGTAAATCTCATAAACATGTCTTTATTTATTTAAAAAAAGTTTTAGAATTATTAATTTTAAATTAAAAAAAAAATGGTTCGAACCTCTTTTTTTTGGCATGTTCTTGACCAGTTTATGATTGGTTTGACATTTTTTTGACTGGTTATTTACTTCCCTGATTTTTTTGGGTTACATAGACCAGTGACTTGATCAGATCTTAATCCAAACTGGCTCTCGGTCCAGTTGGTCAAATCTAGTCTTTAAAACAATGAGAAAAATGACATCAATTATTTCAGATAAAAATGGATAGAGCCAATAATTAAAAAAACATAATAATTAGATGACCCTACAC